TTCTGGAATTTCCTTGCTTTCTCCATTATCCAGCAAATGTTGGCAATTTGATCTATGGTTCCTCTGCCTTTTGTAAACCCAGCTTGGATATCTGAAAGTTCTTGGTTCATGTAATGCTGAAGCCTAGCATGCAAGATTTTGAGCATGACCTTACTAATGGCAACCCACTCCAGTATTCTTGCCTGGAAAATCCCATGGCCAGAGGAGTGTGTAGGCTACAGTCCATGGGGTTGCAAAGAGTTGGACATGATTGAGTGACTTCACTTCACTTACTAGCATGGAACATGAGTGCAACTGTCCCATGGTTTGAATATTCTTTCATACTGCCCTGCTTCAGAATTGGAAAAAGATTGACCTTTTCCAGTCCTGTGGCCACTCCTGTGTTTTCCAAATTTGCTGACATATTGAGTGTAGCATTCTGATGCATCATCTTTCAGGGTTTTAAATAGCTCTGCTGGAGTTCCATCTCATCTACTAGCTTTACTGATAGCAATGCTTCCTAAGGCTTACTTGACCTCACCCTACAGAAGGTCTGGCTCTGTGTGAGTGATCACAACATGTGGTTATCCGGTTCAAGATCTTTTCTGTACTCTTGTTCCATGTATTCCTTCCAACTCTTCTTGATTTCTTCTATTTCCACTAGGTCTCTACTGCTTCTATCCTTTATTGTGCCCATCTTTGGGTGAAATGTTCCCTTGATATTTTCAATTTTCCTGAAATTCTCCTATAAAAGGAGAATTAGAGGGTACTACATATAAAAACTTGTGTCTAATTTTATACCTGTAAAATATATGCTGTTCTTTCTCTGAAGTATTACCATATCTTGTTCATCTCTTGCTATCAATTACCACTACTGGTCTAACTATAAGTTGTGCTGTTTTACTTTTTTCTTGTTAATATACAAAATAGAATCACTTCCATTTATCAAGATATTTCCTCCTTTTTAAACAAAGCATTCCTTCCTAATATTGTGACTAATTGGGATCTTACTATACATTACGACCCTCTGTTTCTTTGTTGCTTGCTGTTCCAGTTTAATTTTATTTTAAGAGCTTCACATAAACATTCTTTAAATGTATTCCTTATTTTAATGTGACTTATGTTAGAAGTGCCTAACATTGCATTGCTTATTTTTAAAGCTTTTTTGTTTAATTCATCAATAATCATATGTTCCTCTTCTAAGTCAATTATGCTGCTTCCTCTTTTCATTATTTGTGTTCTCCAATGTAGGGGAGCCATAATCTTTCTTTTTATATTGAAATATAGTTGATCTACAATATTATGTTAGTTTCCAGCATACAGCATAATGGTTTGGTGTGTTTTTGTAGATTATAGTCTAAAGTTATAAGGAGTAATGTCTATATTTCTCTGTGCTGTATAATATATAGTTGTTGTTTATCTATTTTATAAATAGTAGTTTGTATCCCTGAATCCGATGTCTTTATCCTACCGCTCTTACCTTCCCTCTCCCCATTGGTATTCATTTGTTTGTTTTCTGTATCTGTGACTCTTTGTCTGTCTTTTATGAACATTCATATTGTTTGGAGTTTTTGTTTTGTTTTCTGTTTTTTTAGATTTCACATATAAGTGATAACATATAGTATTTGTCTTTCTCTGTCTTATTTCACTAAGCATAATAACCTCTAGGTCCATCCATGTGGTTGTGAATGGCAAATTTCACTCTTTTTATGTTTGAGTAATAATCCATTATAAATGTATACATATCTTCTTTCTGAATTCATCTGTTGATGGACATTTGGGTCACTTCTATATTTTACTTATTGTAAGTAATGCTGTTACAAATATTAGGGTGCATGTATCTTTTTGAATTAGTGTTTTGTTTTCTTCAGCTATATACAGAGCAGTAGAATTGATGGATAATATGTTAGGTCTATTTTTAGTATTTTGAGAGACCTACATAGATTTTTCCATAGTAGTTGCATCAATTTATATTCCAAACAACAGTGTACAAGGGTTCCCTTTTCCCAATATCCTTTCCGACATTTGTGATCTTTTGGAGGATAGTCATTCTGATGGGTGTAAGGTGATATCTCGTTATAATTTTGATTTGCATTTTTCTAATAATTAGCAGTGTTGACTATCTTTTCATGTGCCTGTTTGTCATTTGTTTGTCTCCTTTGAAAAAAATGTCTTTTCTGGTCTTCTGCTCATTTTTAAAATCAGGTTATTAATTTTTTTTTTATTGAGCTGCATGAACTGTCTATATATAGAATTTTTAATGCAACATACAAACTATTTAACAAAACAACAGATAAAGTAAAAAAGGCACTTTCTCATTTATGTGAGAACACTGCTGCTGCTGCTGCTAAGTCGCTTCATTTGTGTCTGACTCTGTGTGACCCCATAGACGGCAGCCCACCAGGCTCTGCCGTCTCTGGGATTCTCCAGGCAAGAACACTGGAGTGGGTTGCCATTTCCTTCTCCAATGTATAAAAGTGAACAGTGAAAGTGAAGTTGCTCAGTCGTGTCCGACTGTTCGAGACCCCATGAACTGCAGCCTACCAGGCTCCTCCACCCATGGGATTTTCCAGGCAAGAGTACTGGAGTGTGGTGCCATTGCCTTCTCCGAGCACACAGACAGATTTGAGTTTGGCTAGGCTCCGGGAGTTGGTGATGGACAGGGAGGCCTGGCGTGCTGCAATCCATGGGGTCACAAAGAGTAGGACAAGACTGAGCGACTTCACTTTCACTTTTCACTTTTCATATATATATAATATAATACATATTATATTATATATAATTTCTGGAAAAGAACATAGGGAGAACACTCTGACATAATATATTTTTTTATCTAACTCTTAAAGCAAAAGAAATAAAAACAAAAATGAAAAATAAACAAATGGGACCTAGTTAAAGGCTCTTGCTCAATAAAGGAAACCATTTACAAAATGAAACGACAACTTACTGAAAGGGGGAAAATATTTCCAATGATACGATCCATAGTAGGTTATTATATAATATAAACTCACGCATGTATGTGTGTTTAGTCACTCAGTCATGTCTGACTCTTTGCGACCCCATGGACAGTAGCTTACCAGTTTCCTCTGTTCTTGGGATTCTCCAGGCAAGAAGACTGGAGTGGGTCACCATTCCCTTCTCCAGGGGATCTTCCTGACCCAGACATCAAACTCATGTCTCTTATGTCTCGAGCAGTCACAGGTGGGTTCTTTACTTCTAGTGCCACCTGGGAAGCCTTTTATTTGGCTACTGATAGTTATGTATTTATTGCCATTTCATTGCTTATTTTTCTCTTTATATTTTTGTAGTTGTTCTCTGTACATTTCTTTTTTTCTCTTCCCTAGTGTTTTGATGATTTTATTCAGTACTATGCTTGTGTTCCTTTCTTTTTAGTATTTGTGTATCTATTATAGGTTTTTGATTTTTTATTAAATTGAGGCTCATATACATTGACCTACAGTTAAATCTACTAGTTTAAACCTTGTAATCATTTAGGTTCAAACACATTCTAGAAGATCTATAAGATTATTACTTCTTGTAATAGCCTTTTCTTTTCCAGTTAGAAAAGACTAATTTAACATTTTTTTTTTTTTTTTTAGTATAGGTTTAGTATTGATGAGCTCTTTTAGTTTTGCTTCTCAGGAAATGTATTTATTTCTCCTTCAATTCTAAATAGTAATATTGTTGAGCAGAGTATCCTAGGCTGTATTTTTGTTTTTCCTTCTTTTCAGCGCTTTGAATATATCATGCCACTTTCTCTGGTCTGCAAAGTTTCTGCAGAAAAACCAGCCAACACACTTATGGTGGCTCCCTTGCCTATCACTCTTTTTATCTTGTAGCCTCTATGGAGTCACTGATATTTTAAATTCATTTATTTAATTATATTTATTTTTGGCTGTGCTGGGTCTTCACTGATGCTCGTGGGCTCTTCTCTAGCCGTGGCAAGCAGGGGCTACTCTTCAGTTGTGCTGCCCAAGCTTCCCATTGTGGTGGCTTCTCTTGTTGCAGACACAGGCTCTAGGGCGTGTGGGCTCAGTAGTTGTGGCATGTGAGCTCTAGGGCAGGAGATCAGGAGTTGTGATGCACAGGCCTACCCACCTCGTGGCGTTCAGGGTCCAGATCCTGGACCAGCGGTTGAATCCACACCCCCTGCATGGAGAGGTGGACTCCCAACCACTGAATCAGCAGGGAATTCCTTCTTGCAGCCTGTAGAATTGTCTTTAACTTTTACCATATTAATAACGACATGTCTTGGCATGGATCTTTTTGTGTTCATCTTGCTTGGGACTCACTGTGTTTCTGTACCTGGCTACTTGTTTCCTTCATCATGTTTGGAAAATTTCCTGCCATCATTTTATTAAATACATTCTTTACACCCTTTTCTCTTCCTTCTCCTTCTAGGACCCCTATAATCTGGATGTTGATATGCTTTATGATCTCTCAAGCTGCTCTCACTTTTTTCTTTTGTTTTTCTCTTTGCTGGTCTGATTGGGTGATTTCCATTATTTTATCTTCCAGATAATCTATGTGTTCTATTCAGTCCTTTTTTTTTTTTTTAACTTTAGATATTATATTCTCCAGCCCTTCCTGGATCTTTTTAAAAAATATTTTTTACTTTCTTATTAAAATTCTCACTGTGTTAATCTATTCTTTTCCATAATTCAGTTACCATTCTTATTACTAGCGCTTTGAATTCTTTATCTGGTAAATTGTTTATTTCTGTCATATTTTTCAGGATTTGACTAGTTCTCTGTCTTATTTTGCTTAACTTTCTCTGTCTCTGTGAACATAGGTGATTTTTAAAATTTTTACCCATTGTGGTCTTGAAATCTCGGCCTGATGAGGGAGGGCCCCTGTATGAGCTGTGTGTGCCCAGGGCCTTTGCTGGGAGGGCTGGGCGGATGTGAACATGGTAACGTCTTTTCCCCTGTGTGTGGACAAGCTATCTCTGGGTGGGATGTGGGGACTGAGACAGAGGGTCTAGAGCTGGCGCTGGGTCTGAGGTGTGAATCCAAGCTGGCTCAGCTCCCTTTAAGTGCCACTCTCCCCTCTCGCAGCTCTGGGACCCTCGACCCGGCGGGGGTCAGTGGTGAACCAGGAGGGGCCGGGGTGGTCTGTCCTCCTGTGCCGGGGCAGGCTGGGGCAGACTGACCACAGACAGCGGTGCAGGCTGCCTCCAGTGTTCCGTCCGCGTAAGTGGCAGCAATGGCGGCCCCCACGCCGTTCAGGCGCCTCGGGCCTGAGCTCCCACGTCCCGCACAGCCCACCACAGCACCCCGACTCCGCCAGCCCTCCCTCTGCGGGGCAGTGCCGCAGGGTGCAAGGGCTGTGGGGGTTCTCAGCATGCACACGGGTGGGCACTCTCAGAGACTGGGACTGTCCCCGATATGCTGCCTAAGTAAGGGCCGCCAATGGCCACACAGACGCCACCCGGGTCTGAGTCATCTCTGTGGCCCCCGGCTGAGCTCTCTCTCTGGCCAAGGCTGCCCTTTGTCTAGTGTGAAGGCGTCATGTGAAGTGAGCAGAGCTGGAGCAGTCACTTGACTCAGGCTGGGCCACATTCCAGAGGGGTCGCGGGACCCAGGCCATCACTCCAGCAGCCCTCCCCACCTCTTCAGGAGCATTTGCATCCAGTGCATTTGCACTCCTGAGAGTGGAGCCCAGGCTTCCCAGAGCTCTCCTGTCAGACCCAGTGGCCCTCCGAATGGCCAGAGGGACTTGTCTTTGCAGGACTGGTGAGCTCATTATAAGGCTTGAGTCACCCTTGAGTCCACGGGGGAGATCTCCTCAGAGGCCCCACCCCAGGGTCACAGGGTCCAATGTGACCCCTTCTCTTCCCATCCTACTCAATCCTCCTTCTCAATTTCCCACAGGCTTGTTTGTACAGAGGCTTTTCTAAGAGTTTCTAGTTTGTTTTCAGTGAGATTTTTTTCCACGTGTAGATGCATTTTTTATGCACTCTTAGAAGAGGTGTGTCCCACAACCTCTTACTCTGCCATCTGTTTCAACTGCATAAACATTTTACAAGTATTTGCACATACATTGACATAATGTTTTCAAAATGTGTGCCATGCTCTTTGATGCCATTTATGTGCTTAAATACTATACCTTAAATTGTATCAATCCCCTTACTTTTGAATGCTACCCCTTTAATTGTAGCCTAATTGTAGTTTGTATGAGAAATATGGTGCTGATAATCTTTTATTGTTCAACCTATTGAATGTATATCACCACCATTTTAAATAATTCTTTTCACTTACAAGTGGTCAATTTATTCCCTAACTTCACTTACAATCTCACACACTTTGATCAAATAAAATTTGTTGCAGCTGACTTCTCATCCACAGGGGTCAGGCACACATTAAACATTTTGCACAGTGACAATCACTTGTTTTTCATCTACAAAGCATTTTATCAACATTGACTTAGGAAGTGTGTATTACTAAGATTATTTATTCATAGATATCCAAATATAAAACATAGAGTGACATAATCTATGTTGGAAAATTGCCGAAAAACCAAGCACTAAGTCTGAAAATCTAAAAAGATCAGAGTAACAAAATTGTTGTTGTTGTTCAGTCACTCAGTCATGCCCTTTCGCAACCTCAGGGACTACGGCACACCAGGTCTCCCTGTGCTTCACCGTATCCCAGAGTTTGCTCAAACTCCTGTCCATCGAGTCAGTGATGCCATCCAGCCATATCATCCTCTGTCATCCCCTTCTCCTCCTGCCTTCAATCTTTCCCAGCATCAGAGTGTTTTCTTAAGAGTTGACTCTTTGCATCTGGTAGAAAAATATAAATAAGGAAACATAAGTGTTTTTGAAACATGTAAATGATTACATTGCTCATTTTTCACTGTCTAACATCATTATGAAAGCGAAAATCACTCAGTAATGTTCTACTCTTTGTGATCCCCTGGACTATACAGTCTATGGAATTCTCCAGGCCAAAATACTAGAATGGGTAACTTTTCCCTTCTCCAGGGAATCATCCCAACCCAGGGATAGAACCTTGGTCTCCCGCATTGTAGATAGATTCTTTACCAACTGAACCACATCATTATTAGTTCAGTCCAGTCGCTCAGTCATGTCCGACTCTTTGTGACCTGAGGGACTGCATCAAGCCAGGCTTCCCTCTCCATCACCAACTCCCAGAGCTTACTCAAACTCATTTCCATCAAGTTGGTGATGCCATCCAACCATCTCATCCTCTGTTGTCCCCTTCTCCTCCTGCCTTCAATCTTTCCCAGCATCAGGGTCTTTTCCAATGAGTTAGTTCTTCACATCAGGTGGCCGAAGTATTGGAGTTTCAGCTTCAGCATCAGTCCTTTCAATGCATATTCAGGCCTGATTTCCTTTAGGGATTGACTGGTTAGATCTCCTTGCAGTCCCATCATTATAGGAGCCTCTTTATCAAACTGAAGCATTTTGTTGTAATTTATGTGCATACCAATTCATGATAATTGAAAGGAAAAGAATCTCAAGTAAAATAAAAGGCATATAAATGTTGTATTTTATCTGATTCAGGCTATTTTGGGGAGATAATTTTCCTTGTATCTTTTGGCTTTCTGAATGGTTTTTTTAACCATGTTCTAGACTATGTTCCCAAGGATATTTGTATTATAAACAGCCATGGATGATGAAGATGGTGAGTCCCTCCAGGGAAGAGAATGGATTTACTTCCTGAAGAAGAAACTAAAGTTAATATCTGCAAAGTTTGTCAATAACCTCCTTTATAAGATTGGGGTTTTCCTAAGGTTGAGCTTCCTCCGCTGTTACACAAACTGCTGTGTGTACAGAATCATTTAGACCTCTGTACTTAGCCCACAGGTCTTGGGTAGTGAGGGAAACTGATGTAAACTTGAAGCTTATGCTTCCTGCTGTGCCTTGAGTAATACATTGCTTTGTCTCTGATACAGGAGTCTTGTGGTTTCTGTCAATATCTATAAAACACTGGCCAGCTAAATTGTTAGTTTGTGTGTAGGGTAAAGTCTCAGACCCTTCACAGTTCCCAACAACTATAAATGGATATGTTTCAAGAATCTCTTTTACTGCACCAAAAATAAGTCTTGCTATGACTTTTTGCAGAAGCAAAACTAGGCCATAAATAGAAATGTGCTGTTCATTTTTTTAAATGAAAGGAAGAAAAGAAATAAAGGAAAAATAATTAGAATAAAAAAAAAACCCAGACTTTTCATTTGTTATTTAATCAGTAAACAAAACTAAGAAGCATCTAGTCCATTCTAAGCATTCTTCAAGATAATGCCACAGAGAACAACTAGATATGGTACCAAGTTTATGGGGTATACTTTCTTGTTATTCATAAAGAAAAATCAACAAAAATCTTTGTTAATGACGACATGTAACATGGAAGAAATGAAGGTGATTGGAGTGGATGTAGTTAAGGGAAGGCTACATTACATGAGTGATGAAAAATTCCTTATTTACTCTGAAAGATTTAATCTGAGAGCATGGTTTAGTGAAAGAAGTCCCTGGATTCCAGTGATGAATATGGTATTTATTAGTTGGATGTCTCTGCAAGAAGGTAAAAACTGTCATACCAATTGATATCTTCTCTAATTGTAACACTGACATATTAAAACATATCTTGATATTGTATAACACACAATAAAGGTTTGATATTACTAGTATTATTTATGCTACCAGAATTCTGTTCACAGATTTTTTTTCAGGTAAAATAAATGTTGACATGCTCATGTTTTGTTTTTGCTTTTATGTCTTTGATATGTTTTACAAGTATCAATGTGCTTCCCTTATAAGTTATAGTGGCCAAAGACAAGCTATCTTTGATAAATAAGAGTTATTGCTTTATACATATTGTCTTGAGAGTCATTCTGTAGATGCAGGCATTAGACTGTCCTTGAACGAACCCTATACTCTATGACAAATCAAGGAAATTAAAGCTCTTCTGTGTGTTTTCGCTTAGACATCACTTTTTTGTTTGCTTATGCTTGCTATCCCTCTTGAAAAAATTTAAAAAAAGAGAGAGTGGGAGAGGGTTATACAATTGCATTCTAGCTAAGTGGAATTAGAGTTATATACAAATTATTTTCTGTAGTATATGAATTAGAACTTTTAAAATGAAGATATCTATTTAATAATACCAAAACATTCTAAATTACTTCGAATATCCTCAGATAACAAAACCATAAATTCAGAGACCTCATAGTCTCAGGTTCAAATACAGAAACTTATTTCATATAAATTGGATACAATTTGAATTTTCATTCTTGACCATAAATGAGATTATTAGAGGGGAAAAACTTGCATTTTAACTTTGGATTTAATACAATTGATATATTATAGATTAAAAATTTTGAAAATATTAAGGGTTACATAAAATTTTCCTTGTTGAAAATACAAATTCAATTTGTTCATATTCCAGCTAAGGATAATACAGCAAAATTAAATAACTAAATGATTTCTAATGATCACAAGACTGATCAAGTTAAAGTCACATTTATAAGTTTGACTTTCTTTTTCCTTGTCCAGTGCCATTCTGACTAGTCCTTATTTCACTGATGTTTTGCTTGTATCTTGTACATCAGAATCATCTTTGGTATTTGTTGATTTCAAATTTCTAGGCCCTCAATGATATACTGACTCTGAATTTGGATTATGAGGCTTAGCAATATGCATTTTGATAAGACTTTTTCAGGTCTTTATGTATACTTGAAATCTATACAACCACTGAATAATTAATACATAAAAATGAAGTGTCTGGGCTGCTAGAGTTATCTGCAATTGTAATTTATATAAATGAAACAGTTAATACATAAGCAATTGATTTTTTAGAATTCATTGGTAAACTTCTCTTTATCTTGCAATTAAAATTCATTTTTGGTCAATAAGTTTTCTCTCAAGGTCTGCACAAAATGTTGCAAATGTAATGAAATGTGTATACACACATACAAGCATACCCTTGAAGAGCTCAAATAATAAGATTCTATGTAATGATAAGTAAAAATCTGTAATAAATAGTGAATAACTATATAAAAGAACTTGAAAATCATTTATTTTAAAAGTTATACTTTCATTTATCATGAATTTTTTTTGTATTTAAGTCCAGAATCAGCTTCTAGAAACTTCTTTTGAAACTCAAATCCAAAAGTTCACTGTAACTTCTTTTTATACTCTCTTCTCCAAGGCAATGGCCCTCAGCCTATTTTATTTTGTTTTTTAATTGATATATAATTTCTATACAGTGAATTTCCAATAAAAGTTTTTGTTTACTGTTGGATAAATTGGATTAGCTTTAATGATGAAAGTGAAACTAAAATTACTGAGATGGAAAATATGCCAAATAATATTTTAAAACAATAT